GGCTGTTAAAGGCTACGTCGACATAATGCCGCTGGTTAAGCTTGAAGGGGACAAGTACAGGAGCCAGCAGTCAGTGTCCAATGAAAGGCAAGGACATTGTGCCCTTGGTGGAGCAGCAGAAGAGGAGAAAAAATTTTTGGCAGAAATACAAAGAGAAGATTCAATAAAATATCCACAAGGATGCAGAAGGAGGCGCAGTTGACTGATAAGTAACCGACCAATGGTGAGCTCGCCTTTGCAATATGCATGAGCCTCATTAACACCGATATAAAGATGCGTGCCTACCAATAAAAATTTGAGACTTTCTGATCACTCACATCGCGTGCCGCATTTCTCCCGCCCATACCAACAGATATGGGGATGGCCAAAGCTCAACCCTTGACCCCAAAATCCCAGCTATTGGCCCCAGGTTTTGACAATTTGTCCTTCTCCTCCTGCTCCTGGTCACCCTGCTAGGTGGGTCTCATCCCTTTTACCAGCTGGCCACACCCACTGCAGGCCCACAGCCAATCAGGTTTCTCATCCCCATCTCCCCTTTGTCCCGCAGGGCTCCGGGCGGCCGTGACCCTGCTGGAGTGCGGGGGGGCCCTCCAGCCCCCCGGGGGGGCCCTGCGCCTCCTCTGCCGAGGGTCCGGGTTCCATTTCGGGGATTGTGGGATGGGCTGGATGCGCTAGAGACCCAGGCAGGGGCTGGAGTTTGTGGCGAGTGTCACCAGTGATGGCATCACTCCCAGATACGTGCCATCAATCAAGGGCCAGTTCAGGATCTCCAGGGACAACGGGCAGAGCTCGGTGACGCTGACCATGAACAACCTCAAGGACGAGGATTCAGCCGTTTATTTCTGTGTCAAACTTTGCAATGGTTACGCTGGCAATGCTATTGACGCTGGTTTCGGCATCAATCCTGGCAGTGACCGTGATGGTCAACAAATGTTTCCAATCCCAGAGATCCTTCCTCCAAATCACAGCCCTTCTCTTCAAAACTTCACCATTTTTCCCCAAACTCTGCCCCTGCAGACCCAACTCTCCGTTATCCCCCAATTTTCCCCATTTCTCCCCAGTCTGGCCCTTCCCCTCCATCCCAGTGCGGAACGGGGATCGCTCCAGGGCCCTTTGCACACAAAGCTTTTTGTGCAGCCGGCGCTCTGCCGCAGCACCCAGAGGCTGAACTGCCCTCTGCCAAACACAGATGTTCACAATGACCAAAACCAGGAACTTTCTGTTTCCTTTCCTGCCCCGGCCGGGCCCCGGCAGCTGCCGGGGAGGAAGTGGGGGGAGGCTGCAGAGCCCCAAAATCGCGGCGTCTTCTCCTCCCTCCCTCCCTCGCTCCCACCTGGGGCTTCCTTGCTCCCTCAGTGGCCTCGGTGTCTGGGGCTGGTCCTTGGGGCTGGGCTGGAATCCTCTCTGGGAGCTATGAACATGGTGATGATGCTGGTGGTGGCCCCAAACCCCCATCCCTGGCTCCCCAAATGTCCCAAAATCCCCAAATCCTGCCCCAAATCCCAACCCTTGACCCCATTCTTGACCTTCTCCCCCAGTGTCCACCATCTTTGCCCCAACTCTGGACTTTCACCCAGTTTTTCCCATTTCACCCAAATCTCCCCCAGCTCCCCGGGCCCTGATTGGAGGAGGCCTGACCTGGAGGCCAGGGGTGAAGATTTGGGGCCAGTGGTTGAGTGTTGGGGAAGGAGCAGGGGAGGATTTGGGGTCAGTGCTGACCATTGGGGAAAATGGGGGAGATTTGGGACAAAGGGTCAAGGGCTGATATTTGGGGGACAATTTTAGGGAAGGGTCTGGGTTTGGGGACAGGTGAAGACACTGAGATGGGGATGGATCCACCACGGCCATCGTCACTATAAGCAGCAGCACCACCATCATAAACACTAGTAGCACATTTGGCACAGAAATAGGATCCAGAATCCTCGTCCTTGAGGTTGTTCATGGTCGGCGTCACCGAGCTCTGCCTGTTGTCCCTGGAGATCCTGAACCGGCCCTTCACCGAATCTGCGTACCAGGTGCTGCCATCATTGCTGTTGATGCTGGCAATATATTCCAGTGTCTGCCCGGGTCTCTGGCGGATCCAGAACATTCCATAACTCCTGAAACTCAACCCGGACCCTCGGCACAGCAACGTCAGGGAACCCCCGGGGGGGTTGGAGGTCCCCCCCGCACTCCAGCAGGGTCACGGCCACCCGGAGCCCTGAGAGACAAAGGGGAGATGGGGATGGGAAACCTGATTAGTCGAGGGCCTCCTAGTGGGCAAGGCCAGATAGAAAAAGGGACGGGACCCACCTGGGAGGAGGATGATGAACTCCAAGGGTCCTAATTTTGGACAAGAGTCAGGATTTGAGTCAAGGGTTGAGCTTTGGCCTCATCCCCATCTCCCCTTTGTCCCGCAGGGCTCCGGGCGGCCGTGACCCTGCTGGAGTGCGGGGGGGATCTCCAGCCCCCCGGGGGGTCCATGCGCCTCCTCTGCCGTGGGTCTGGGTTCGATTTTGGACAATTTGGGATGGGCTTGATGTGCCAGAGACCCGGGCAGGGGCTGGAACACATCCGAGGGATCCAAAGAGATGGCAGCACCTAGTGCACGCCATCGTTCAGGGGCTGGGTCACGATCTCCAGGGACAACGAGCAGAGCTCGGTGACGCTGACCATGAACAATCTCAAGGACGAGCATTCCGGATCGTATTTCTGTGCCAGATGCAGTGATGGTGGTTGGAATGGAGCTGCTGTTGCTTATGGTGGCAATCCTCAGCATCGCCCCAAGGCCGCAGCCCGAGTTCCCAAAATTTCCCAAATTACTTGTCCCAAATCCCAACCCTTGACCCCATTCTTGACCTTACTCCCCAGTTTCCACTATTGCTGTCCGAATTCCTGATGTTTCCCCAGTTTTGCCCATTTCACTCAAATGTCCCCCAGCTCCCAGGCCCTGATTGGAGGAGGCCTGACCTGGGGGCCAGGGGTGAAGGACTGGGGCCAGTGGTTGAGTACTGGGGCAGGAGCAGGGGAGGGTTTGGGGTCAGTGCTGACCATTGGGGCAAATGGGAGAGATCTGGGACAAAGGGTCAAGGGCTGAGGTTTGCAGGGGAGGGTCTTTGTTTGGGGACACGGTGGCACAGACAGGGGTGATGCCAAAACTGGCATGGTCAATATAAGCATCAGCATCAGCACCACCACGAGAAACACTCTCTTTGGCACAGAAGTAGGATCCGGAATCCTTGACCTTGAGGTTGTTCATGGTCAGCGTCACCGAGCTCTCCCCGTTGTCCCTGGAGATCATGAACCGGCCCTTGACCGATGGCACGTAGTAGGTTTAGGAACCACCCCAGCTGATCCCTGCAACCCATTCCAGCCCCTGCCCAGGCCTCTGGTGAACCCAAATAAAACTGGTTTGTCTGAAATCGAACCCAGTCTCTCGGCAGAGGAGACACAGGGACATCCCGGGGGCCAGGAGGTCCCCCCCGCACTCCAGCAGGGTCACGGCTGCCTGGAGCCCTGCGGGACAAAGGGGAGATGGGGATGAGAAACCTGATTGGTCGAGGGCCTCAAAGTGGGCAAGGCCAGCAAGAAAAAGGGGCAGGACCCAGCTGGGAGGAGGATGATGAACTCGAAGGGCCCCAATTTGGGGCCAAGAGTCAGGATTTGGGTCAAGGTTTGAGCTTTGGCCTCATCCCCATCTCCCCTTTGTCCTGCAGGGCTCCGGGCGGCCGTGACCCTTCTGGAGTGCGGGGGGGACCTCCAGCCCTCTGGGGGGTCCCTGCGCCTCCTCTGCTGAGGGGCCGGGTTCAGTTTTGGGAGTTATGGAATTTTCTGGATCCGCCAGAGACCTGGGCAGGGGCTGGAGCCAGTCGCCTGTATCAGCAAAGGTGGCAGCTCCTACTACTCGCCATCGGTCAAGGGTCGGTTCATGATCTCCAGGGACAACGGGCAGAGCTCGGTGACACTGACCATGAACAACCTCAAGGACGAGGATTCCGCCATCGATTTCTGTGCCAAGGGTGCTGATGCTGGCACTGGTCTTGGTGCTTTTATTGGTGTTTGGGTTGGTGTTTGGGGTTTCAACCCCGTGCCTGTCCCCTGCTGTCCCCAGACCCTTTCCCAAACCCCCCTGTCCCACCCCTTACCCTTTGTCCCAACCTTAACCCCTTTGCGCCAACGCTGCCCTTTGGCCCCAAAACCTCCCTTGGGTCTGGCCCCAAATCTCATCCTCGACATCCCAAAAGTGCCCAAAGGGCCGTGATTTGGGGTGAAATTTGGAAAATTCTGGCACCAACTCAGTTTGGTTTGGGGCAGAACCAGTCAGGGTTTGGGGTCTTTGGTCACCGTGGGTGGAAATGGGGGAGGCATTGGACAAACAGTCAAGGGCGGAGATTTGGGAGAAGCCCTGGGGGTTGAGGACAGGAGGGGACACTGAGATGGGGGTGGATCCACCTCAGGTGTCTTCATAATTAGCACCAGGACTGCAATCATCACCAGCAGATTTGGCACAGAAATAGGATCCGGAATCCTCGTCCTTGAGGTTGTTCATGGTCAGTGTCACTGAGCTCTGCTCGTTGTCCCTGGAGATCGTGACCTGGCCCTTGAACGGCGGCACGTAGTCGGTGCTGCCACTGCTGTGGATCGTTGCAAGCCACTCCAACCCCTGCCCGGGTCTCTGGTGCACCCAGAGCATGGCAACACTGCCGAAACTGAACCCGGACCCTCGGCAGAGGAGGCGCAGGGACCCCCCGGTGGGCTGGAGGTACCCCCCCAACTCCAGCAGGGTAACAGTCGCTCCCCCATACACAAACCTTCACTGGTTTTGCCCCAAATTCCCTTTGTCTGGCACCAAACCTCCAACAGAGGTATCCTGAATGGTAAAGAGTCATAAACCCTGCAATTAGTCCCAATCCACACAAAGATTAATTGGACACCTCTGCCTGACTTTTGCATCGCCGCATCCCCATCTCCCCTTTGTCCTGCAGGTCTCCGGGCGGCCGTGACCCTGCTGGAGTGCAGGGGGGGACCTCCAGCCCCCCGGGGGGTCCCTGACGTTGCTGTGCCGAGGGTCGGGGTTCAATGTTGGGGATTATGGAATGCACTGGATCCGCCAGAGACCCGGGCAGGGTTTGCAATATGTCGCAGGGATCTACAACACTAGTGGCACCACCTACTACGCGCCATCGGTGAAGGGCCGGTTCACGATCTCCAGGGACAACGGGCCGAGCTCGGTGACGCTGACCATGAACAACCTCAAGGACGAGGATTCCGGATCCTATTTCTGTGCCAAATCTGATGCTGGTTATGCGGATAATCCTGGTCGTAGTGAAGTTGCAATCCCCATCCCCGTGTCCCCCCCCTGTCCTCGTTCCACAGACCCTTCCCCCAAACCCCCAGCCCACACCCAGCCTTTGACCATTGATCCCAACCTTGCTCTGCCTCGGCCCCAATTCTCACCCGCTGGCCCCAAACTACAACTCCTGACCCCAAATCTCCACTTTGTGCCCCAGAAGTTTGTATTAAAAAGGGCAATTTCAGACGAAGGGTCAAGATATGGTAAAACTTTGTGGCAAGAAGTTGAGAATTTGGGGAAGTACCACTCCAGAGTTTGGACAGAGTCAGGAATGGGCAAAAGGGTTTGGGTTTTGGGGAAGGGTCTTGGATTTGGGAGCCGGTCGGGACATGGCCACAGGGTCCGGACCAAAACCATCAACACCAGCACCAGTACCCCAATTGTTATAAGCAGATTTCCCGCAGAAATAGGATCCGGAATCCTCGTCCTTGAGGTTGTTCATGGTCAGCGTCACCGAGCTCTGCCCATTGTCCCTGGAGATCATGACCCGGCCCTTGACCGATGGCTCGTAGCTGGTACTAGAACCGTCTTTCTTGATCGCTCCAATGAATTGCAGCCCCTGCCTGGGTCTCTGGCGTACCCAGTACAGGGTGGAACCCCCGAAATCAAACCCGGCCCCTCGGCAGAGGAGGCGCAGGGAACCCCCGGGGGGCTGGAGGTCCCCCCCGCACTCCAGCAGGGTCAAGGCCGCCCGGAGCCCTGCGGGACAAAGGGGAGATGATGGAAATCAAAACTCTGATTGGTCAAGGGCCTCCAAGTGGATGTGGCCAGCTGGACAAAGGGGTAGAATCCTCCTGGGGGGAGGATGATGAACTCCAAGGGTCCCAATTTTGGGCCAGGAGTCAGGATGTGGGTCAAGGGTTGAGCTTTGGCCTCATCCCCATCTCCCCTTTGTCCCGCAGCTCTCCGGTCGGCCGTGACCCTGCTGGAGTGCAGGGAGGACATCCAGCCCCCTGGGGGGTTCCCTGCGCCTCCTCTGCCGAGGGTCCGGGTTCAGTTTTGGGAGTTCTGGAATGTTCTGGATCTGCCAGAGACCTGGGCAGGCTTTGGAATATGTCGCAGGGATCTACAACCCTGGTGGCACCACCTACTACAATCCATCTGTCAAGGGCCGGTTCACGATCTCCAGGGACAACGGGTCAGAGCTCGGTGACGCTGACCATGAAGAACCTCAAGGGCTGTGTCACCACTTGCCCTCACCTGTCCCAGACCCTTCCCCAACCCCCAGCCCCTGACCCCATTCCTGTCCCCGTGCCCCAACCCTGCCCTGACTCTGCCCCACATTCTCAGGTCCTGGCCCCACACCTCAGCTTAGGTCCCACTCGGGGCCATTTTGGCTCCTGAGCTCTCCTTGGCCATTCTGACCCTGCTCTTGACCGATGGAAGGTTCCAGGTGACTCCACCCTTGGACCCCTCTTCTTCTCTCAGCATGGAGCCCTCGACTCGAGATCAATTTGAAAAATTTGATTTACCCAAAATTTCATGTGTGTTTTTGGTAAAAAAAAGGGGGTTTTCTCCAGAGAGAGGATTCCAGCCCAGCCCCAAGGAGCAGCCCCAGACACTGAGGCCGCTGAGGGAGAAGTGAAGCCCCAGGTGGGAGCGAGGGAGGGAAGGAGGGAGGAGAAGACGCTACGATTTTGGGGTTCCGCAGCCTCCCCCCACTTCCTCCCCGGCAGCTGCCGGGGCCCGGCCGGGGCAGGAAAGGAAACAGAAAGTTCCTGGCTTTGGTCATTGTAAACATCTGTGTTTGGCAGAGGGCAGCTCAGCCTCTGGGCTCTGCGGCAGAGCGCCGGCTGCACAAAAAGCTTTGTGTGCAAAGGGCCCTGGAGTGATCCCTGTTCTGCACTGGGACGGAGGGGAACTGGCGGAGATTGGGGAGAAATGGGCAAAATTGGGGGGAAACTGGGAATTGGGGATGTGATGGTGGCATTTGGGGGAAATGGTCAAGATTTGAGAAACAGGTGTGGGGATTTTGGGGAAGGATCAGAGAATTCTGAGATATTTGGGAACACAGAACAAAAGGCTTGGGGCCACAACCACCATCTACATCATAAGCAGCACCACCACCACCACCACATCTACTGCTGTAACATTTGGCACAGAAATAGGATCCAGAATCCTCGTCCTTGAGGTTGTTCATGGTCAGTGTCACCGAGCTCTGCCCGTTGTCCCTGGAGATCGTGAACCAGCCCTTGAGGGATGGATTGTAGTAGGTGCTGCCACTGCTGGTGATCCCTGCGAGCCACTCCAGCCCCTGCTCGGGTCTCTGGCGGATCCAGCCCATCACAAAACTGCTGAAATCAAACCCGGACTCCCGGCAGAGGAGGCGCAGGGACCCCCTGGGGGGCTGGAGTTCCCCCCTGCACTCCAGCAGGGTCACGGCCACCCGGAGCTTGGCGGGACCAAGGGGAGATGGGGATGAGAAACCTGATTGGTCCAGGGCCTAAAAGTGGGTTTGGCCTGTTGGTAAAGAGTCGGGCCCCACTTTGGAGAAGGATGAGAAGGTCTAGGGGTCAGAATTTGGGGCCAAGATTCAGGATTTGGATCAAGGGTTGAGCTTTGGCCTCATCCCCATCTCCCCTTTGTGCCGCAAGGCTCCGGGCGGCCATGAACCTGCTGGAGTGCGGGGGGGACCTCCAGCCCCCCGCTGGGTCACTGACGTTGCTGTGCCGACGGTCTGGGTTCAGTTTTCGGGATTATGGAATGTACTGGGTCCTCGAGAGACCTGGGTAGGTTTTGGAATATGTCGCAGGAATCTACAACCCTGGTGGCAGCACCGACTATGTGCCATGGTTCAAGGGTCGGTTCACAATCTCCAGGGACAATAAGCAGAGCTCAGGGACGCTGACCATGAACAACCTCAAGGATGAAGATTCCGCTGTTCATTTCTGCGCCAAGTGTGCTGCTAATAATTACGCTGAAAGTGCTGGTCGTAGCGACGATGTCCATGGTGTCCCATCTACCATCCCTGTGTCCCCCCCGTCCCTGTTCCGCAGACCCTTCCCCCAAACCCCCAGCCCACACCCAGCCCTTGACCATTTATCCCAACCTTGCTCTGCCTTGGCCCCAGTTCTCACCCGCTGACCCCAAACCACAACTCCTGACCCCAAATCTCCTTTTGTGTCCCAAAACTTTGCTCTGAAGGTAAGGGTTTGAGGCCAAGGGTCCCGGTTTGGAGACAAAGGTTGAGGATTCGTGTCAGCGGGTGCTGCTGCAGGGAGCACAAGTGGGGTTTTGGAGCAGATTCGGGCGATTTCTGGTGCCAACTTAGTTAGATTTGGGGCAGAACCCAATTGGGGGTTTTGGCGCTGTGGTTGGTGGTGTTGTAACTGGGGGAGATCTGGGGCAAAGGGTCAAGAATGGGGTCAAGGGCTGAGATTTGGGGGATGGATCTGGGGCCTGGGGGCAGGAGGGGACCCAGTCAAGGGGAAGAGGCCAAGAGCAGAGACATCATTACCCCAACTGGCACCAGCAGCTTTGGCACAGAAATAGGATCCGGAATCCTCGTCCTTGAGGTTGTTCATGGTCGGCGTCACAGAGCTCTGCCCGTTGTCCCTGGAGATCCTGAACCGGCCCTTGACCAACGGCGCGTAGTCGGTGTAGCCACCAGTGTTGCTGATATCTGCAATGTACTCCAGCCCCTGCCCTGGTCTCTGGCAGACCCAGAACATTTTATAACTCCCAAAATCGAACCCGGACCCTCGGCAGAGGAGGCGCAGGGACCCCCTGGGGGCTGGAGGTGCCCCCTGCACTCCAGCAGGGTCACGGCCGCCCGGAGCCCTGCGGGACAAAGGGGAGATGGGGATCAGGCCCCGGATCTGGGCGTGGGCTGGGCTGGGGGTGACCAGATCAAAAAAGGGGCCCTGAACCACCTGGGAGGGCCAACAAGATCGGGAGGAGAACAAAGTGACACAGTTTGGGGCCAACACCAGGATCTGCATGCAAGAACCAACATTTGGGTGGATTCGTTCCCTCATCCCTATCTCCCCTTTGTCCCGCAGGGCTCCGGGCGGCCGTGACCCTGCTGGAGTTTGGGGGCGACCTCCAGGCCCCCGGGGGGTCCCTGCGCCTCCTCTGCCGAGGGTCCGGGTTCAATTTCGGACAGTTTGGAATGGGATGGATGCGCCAGAGACCCGGGCAGGGGCTGGAATACATCGCCAGTATCAGCAACACGGGTGGCGGCACCAACTACGCGCCATCGGTGCAGGGTCGGTTCACGATCTCCAGGGACGAGGGGCAGAGCTCGGTGACGCTGACCATGAACAACCTCAAGGACGAGGATTCTGGATCCTATTTCTGTGCCAAACGTGCTTACAGTGGTTATAGTTATGGTGCTGCTGCTTTTATTGACAATTCTGGCAGTGGTCCCGCCCTCCACGATGGTCACCAGATGTCTCCATTCCCATTTATCCTTCCTCCAGAGCCCAGCTTTTCTCTTCAAATGCTCAATATTTTCCCCCAAACTCCACCCCTGCTGCCCCAACTCTCGGCTTTCACCCAATTTTGCCCATTTCACAGAAATCTCTCCAAGTTCCCCTGGCCCTGATTGGAGGAGGCCTGAACTGGAGACCAGGCTTGAAGGTTTGGGGCCAATGGTTGAGTTCTGGGGCAGGAGCAGGGGAGGGTTTGGGGTCAGTGCTGACCATTGGTGCAAATGGGGGAGATTTGGGACAAAGGGTCAAGGGCTGGGTCAATAGGTGAGGTTCGGGGGAAGTGTCTAGGATTGGGGACAGCGGGGGTTCAGACATGGGCGGTGCCACCAGCGACATGGTCAAAATAAGCAGCATCAGCACCACCACCAGCACCACTCTCTTTGGCACCGAAATAGGAGGTAGAATCCTCGTCCTTGAGGTTGTTCATGGTCAACGTCACTGAGCTCTGCCCGTTGTCCCTGGAGATCGTGAAACGGCCCTGCACCGATGGCGCGTAGATGATGCTGGAACCAGAAGGGCTACTGATCCCCGCGACCCACTCCAGCCCCTGCCCGGGTCTCCGGCGGATCCATTGCATGGTGAAACTGCTGAAACTGAACCGGGACCCTCGGCAGAGGAGGCGCAGGGACCCCCCGGGGGGCTGGAGGTCCCCCCTGCACTCCAGCAGGGTCACGGCCGCCCGGAAACCTGCGGGACAAAGGAGAGATGATGGAAATCAAAACTCTGATTGGTCAAGGGCCCCCAAGTGGGTGTGGCCTGCTCGACAATGGGGTAGAATCCTCCTGGGAGGATGATGAACTCTAAAGATCCCAATTTGGGGTCAAGGGTCAGGATTTGGGTCAAGGGTTGAGCTTTGGCCTCATCCCCATCTCCCCTTTGTCCCGCAGGGCTCCGGGCGGCCGTGACCCTGCTGGAGTGCGGGGGGGACCTCCAGCGTCCCCGGGGGGTCCCTGCACCTCCTCTGCCGACGGTCCGGGTTCAGTTTCGGGAGTTTCACCATGGGCTGGATCTGTCAGAGACCCGGGAAGGGGCTGGCGTGGGTCGCAGGAATATACAGTGATGGTTCCAGCACCTTCTCCGTGCCGTCGGTCAAGGACTGGTTCACGATCTCCAGGGACAATGGGCAGAGCTCAGTGACGCTGACCATGAACAACCTCAAGGACGAGGATTCCGCCACCTATTTCTGTGCCAAGGGTCCTGATAGTGGTTACCATAATCAGGCTGCTGCTTATCATTTGATCCTCTCCATATCCCAGTGTCCCCACCTGTCCCCGTTCCCCAGACCATTCCCCCAAATCCCAGCCCCTGACCCCATTCCTGTCCCCGTGTCCCAGCCCTGAACTGGTTCTTCCCCAAATCTCCCCCATTTTCCCCGCAGATTCCCATCTCTCGGCCCTACTCCTTCACCCTTGGTGCCAACTTTGGTGCCAAACCCTCAGGATTTGGTGGCCCCAGCACGGGTTTGGGGGCAGGGGTGCAGATTTGGGGCTGCCCCAGAGGGATTTATCCCTGCCCGGGGGTCTCTGTCCCAATCCCCACCGGGATGGGGCTGTGGGGACCCCTCTGGAGCCGTTTGGTTTTCCACCATCGCTCTCCTCACTGGGCCGTGGCCATGGGGAGGTGCCGGCGGCTCAAGGCCCCAGCAGCACACACAGAACTCAATGGCGCAGCTCACCGCGACAGGTTTGCGGCCAATCACACAAAGCAAAGGCAGATTGACACGGTGGGGCTGGATCTGGGACATCCTCGTCAGTTTTGGGGAATTTGGTTGGGACGTGGAGCCCAGAGATGAGGTTTGGGGCCAGGAGCTGAGACTGGGGCAGAGCCAGTTCAGAGCTGGGACGGGGGGACAGGAATGGGGTCAGGGCTGGGGACTGGGGAAGGATCTGGGGTATGGGGACAGGGGGGACACAGGGACGGCGATGGGGTCAATACCACAGGCGTCATTAGCAGCAGCATTGTTATAATAACCCCTGGCGCAGAAATAGGTTCCGGAATCCTCGTCCTTGAGGTTGTTTATGGTCAGCGTCACCGAGCTCTGCCCGTTGTCCCTGCAGATCGTGAACCGACCCTTGACTGATGGCGAGCAGATGGTGCTGCCATAACTGCTGATCCCCGCAAGCCACTCCAGTCACTGCCCAGGTCTCTGACGGACCCAGCTCATGGAGTAGCTCCCGAAATTGAAGCCAGATGTTTGGCACAGCAACGTCAGGGAACCCCCGGGGGGCTGGAGTTCCCCTCCGCACTCCAGCAGGGTCACGGCCGCCTGGAGCCCTGCGGGACAAAGGGGAGATGGGGATGAGAAACCTGATTGGTTGAATGTCTCATACTGCATGCGGCCAGCTGGGAAAATGGGATGTGACCCACCTGGGAGGAGGAGGGTCATGAACTCAAAGGGTCCCAGTTTGAGGCCAAGAGTCAGGATTTTGGTCAAGGGTTGAGCTTTGTCCATCCCCATCTCCCCCTTGTCCCGCAGGGCTCCGGGCGGCCGTGACCCTGCTGGAGTGTGGGGGGGAACTCTAGCCCCCCGGAGGGTCCCTGCCCCTCCTCTGCCGAGGGTCCGGGTTCAGTTTCGGGAGTTTTAACATGGAATGGGCTCGACAGAGACCCGGGCAGGGGCTGGAATTCGTTGCCTACATCAGCAACACTGGTGGCTACACCCACTACGCGCCGTCAGTCAAGGGCCGGTTCAGGATCTCCAGGGACAACGGGCAGAGCTCGGTGAAGCTGACCATGAACAACCTCAAGGACGAGGATTCTGCCGTTTATTTCTGTGCCAAATCTGCTTATGCTCGTGCTGGTGGTGGTGCTGCTGCTGCTCCTGCTAATATTGACCGTGTTGGTAGTGGCACCACCCCTGTCTGAGCCCCCCCTGTCCCCAATGTCACACCCTCCCCCCAAACTTCAACCCTTGACCCCTTGTCCCAAATCTCCCCCTTTTGTCCTAATGGTCAGCACTGATCCCAAACCCTCCCCTGCTCCTGCCCCAAACCTCAACCATTGGCCCCAAACCTTGACCCCTGGCCTCCAGTTAAGGCCTCCTCCAATCAGGGCCCAGGAGCTGGGGGAGATTTGGGGGAAATGGGCAAAACTGGGGGGAAAGTGGAGAGTTGGGCCAGTTGGGGCAGAGTTTGGGGGAAAATGACTGAGATTTGCGGGAAAGGGATGGGATTTGGGGGAAGGATCCAAGAATTCTCATATTCTTGGGAAACCAGAGGAGAGGGCTTGGGACTGAAACCACCATCAATACCATAAGGATAAGCAGGGCTACCACAACTCCTGGCGAAACATTTGGGACAGAAATAGGATCCGGAATCCTCGATCTTGAGGTTGTTCATGGGCAGTGTCACCGAGGTCTGCCCGTTGTCCCTGGAGATCGTAAACCGACCCCTGACTGATGGGGCGTACCAGGAGCTGCCACCACTGCTGTAGATACTCGCAACCCACTCCAGCCCCTGCCCGGGTCTCTGGCGGATCCAGAACATGTCGTAACTCCTAAAACTGAACCCCAACCCTCGGCAGAGGAGGCACAGGGACCCCCCGGGGGGCTGGAGGTCCCCTCCGCACTCCAACAGGGTCACGGCCGCTCCCCCATCTCCAAACTTCCGCCGGTTTTCACCAGACTCCCCTGGTTTGCTCCCAAATCTACACCAGAGTTTTCCATAATCGAGGGTGCCTCAAACCCTACAATTAACCCCAGTCCACTCACTAATTACTTGGACAGCTCGTCCTGAAACCTCTGCATTAATTGTCGAATTAACATCTTCGTAACGACCCCCAAAACCCTCTGGGACCCCCAGCCTGGCACATCCTGGCCATGGCTTCGAGCTCCCTCCGGTTCCTGTCCCTGTTGGCCGTTCCAAGTGGGTCAAGGTCCCTTTATCCTCTTGGCCACACCCACTTCATGCCCACAGCCAATCAGGTTTCCCATCCCCATCTCCCCTTTGTCCCGCAGGGCTCTGGGCGGCCGTGACCCTGCTGGAGTGCGGGGGGGAACTGCAGCCCCCCGGGGGGTCCCTGCGCCTCCTCTGCTGAGGGTCCGGGTTCAGTTTTGGGGATTTTGAAATGTATTGGGTCCGCCAGAGACCCGGGCAGGGGCTGAAATGCCTCGCGATTATCAACAGCAATGGACGTTACACCCACTACGCGCCATCGGTCAAGGGCCAGGTCGTGATCTCCAGGGACAACGGGCAGAGCTCGGTGACGCTGACCATGAACAAGCTCAAGGACGAGGATTCCGGATCCTATTTCTGCGCCAAATGTTACAGGAGTGGCTCTGGTAATGGCGCTTATGCTTATGGTGTTCATGGTGGTTGTGGTCCTAAGCTGTTTTTTCTGTGTTCCGAAGTATCACAGAATTCTCTGATCCTTCCCCAAAATCCCTGCCCTACTCCAGAAATCTCAGCACTTTCCCCCCAAACTTGGCCTCTGCTGCCCCAACTCTGGACTTTCCCCCAGTTTCGCCCATTTCATCCAAATCTCCCTCAGCTCCTCGGGCCCTGATTGGAGGAGGCCTGAACTGGAGGCCAGGGGTGAAGGTTTGGGGCAAATGGTTGAGTTTTGGGGCAGGAGCAGGAGAGGGTTTGGGGTCAGTACTGATCATTGGGGCAGATGGAGACAAAGGGCCAAGGGTGGGGTCAATGGGTGAGGTTTGGGATGAAAAGCAGAACTCTGGGGACTCAATGATGGCAGTGGGATGAAAGGCAGGAGCTTGAGACCATCAGGGGCATTGTCACCATTAGCAGCAGCACCATAACCATCAGCAGCCCTGGCACAGAAATAGGAGCCGGAATCCTCGTCCTGGAGGCTGTTCATGGTCAGAGTCACCGAACTCTGCCCGTTGTCCCTGGAGATCGTGAACCGGCCCTTGACCGACGGCGCGTAGAAGGTGTTGACACCATCAGCGTTGATCCCAGCAATGAATTCAGGTGCCTGCCCGGGTCTCTGGCGAATCCAGTACATTCCATAATTCCCAAAATCGAACCCAGACCCTCAGCAGAGCAACGTCAGGGACCCCCCGGGGGGCTGGAGGTCCCCCCCGCACTCCAGCAGGGTCACGGCCGCCCGGAGCCCTGCGGGACAAAGGGGAGATGATGATGAGAAACCTGATTGGCTGTGGGCCTCAAAGTGGGTGTGTCAAACGGGAAAATGGGGTGGGACCCACCTGAGAGGGGCAGCAGGAGCAGGACAACTAGGATGGGGTGGTCCAAAGGTCCCAGTTTAGGGCCCAGAGTCAGGATTTGGGTCAAGGGTTTGAGCTTTGGCCTCATTCCCATCTCCCCTTTGTCCCGCAGGGCTCTGGGCGGCCGTGACCCTGCTGGAATGCAGGGGGGACCTCCAGCCCCCCGGGGGGTCACTGCGCCTCCTCTGCTGAGGGTCCGGGTTCAGTTTCAGCAGCTCTGACATGCTCTGGATCCGCCAGAGACCCGGTCAGGAGCTGGAATCGCTTGCAGGGATCATCACTGGTGTAGGCACTACCGACTACGCGCCATCTGTCAAGGGTCGGTTCAGGATCTCCAGGAAACACGGGCAAAGCTCAGTGACGCTGACCATGAACAACCTCAATGACGAGGATTCCGGGTCCTATTTCTGTGCCAAATTTGCTGGTGCCGGTATTTTGGCTGCTGCTCCAGTTTATCCTTTTGGCCTTTTCCCTGTTCCCCACACCCTTCCCCCATACCCCAACCCCTGACCCCATCCCTCAGCCTGTGTCCCAGCCCTGCTCTGGCTCTGCCCCACATGTCCCCTCTGGACCACACTCAGTGCCGTCGTTCCCCAAAAGTTACTGAAATGTCTGGATTTGGGCCCAAAGTTTAGATCAGGGATCAAGAATTAAAATTTTAGCCCAAAATTCCTGATGTGAGGCCAACGGCGCAGATTTGGGTTGGTGCCTGGGACTCGATGCCCGCAGGGGAGATTTGGGCTGACACTTGACAAGTCTGGGGGCAGTGGTTGGGATTGGAGGGACGAGGCCGAGCTCAGGGTGAAACCGGCCCTGATTTGGGGCCAGGAGCTGAGATTTGGGGCCAGGAGCTGAGATTTGGGGCCAGAGCAGGGCAGGGTTGGGACACAAGGACAGGAATGGGGTCAGGGGCTGGGGTTTTGGGGAAGAGTCTGGGGAACGGGGACGGGAGGGGACGCAGGGATGGGGCCGAAACGTCAAACATCAGCAGCATAAGGAGCAGCACCAGGATCAGTGCGTTTGGCACAGAAATAGGATCCTGAAACCTCGTCCTTGAGGTTGTTCATGGTCAGCGTCACCGAGCTCTGCCGGTTGTCCCTGGAGATCGTGAACCGGCCCTTGAACGATGGCGCATACCCGGTCCAACCACCATTGTAGCTGATACTCGCAACCCACTCCAGTCCCTGCCCGGGTCTCTGGGGCACCCAGAGCATGTCGTAGCTTTCAAAACTGAACCCTGACCCTCGGCAGAGGAGGCGCAGGGACCCCCCCGGGGGGCTGGAGGTCCCCCCTGCACTCCAGCAGGGTCACGGCCGCCCGGAGCCCTGCGGGACAAAGGGGAGATGGGGATGGACAAAGCTCAACCCTCGACCGAAATCCTGACTCTGGGCCCTAAACTGGGACCCTTGGACCTCCTCTGCCGCAGCGCCCAGAGGCTGGGCTGCCCTCTGCCAAGCATAGATGTTCACAATGACCAAAACCAGGAACTTTCTCTTTCTTTTCCTGCCCCGGCCGGGCCCCGGCAGCTGCCGGGGAGGAAGTGGGGGGAGGCTGCGGAGCCCCAAAATCGCGGCGTCTGCTCCTCCCTCCCTCCCTCGCTCCCACCTGGGGCTTCACTTCTCCCTCAGCGGCCTTGGTGTCTGGGGCTGCTCCTTGGGGTTGGGCTGGAATCCTGTCTGGGAACTCTGGACATGGCGAAGATGCTGGTGGTGGCCCCAAACCCCCATCCCTGGCTCCCCAAATGTCCCAAAATCCCCAAATCCTGTCCCAAATCCCAACCCTTGACTCCATTCTTGACCTTCTCTCCAGTGTCCACCATCATTGCCCCAACATTCGACTTTATCACAATTTTTCCCATTTCACCCAAATCTCCGGCAGCTCCCTGGGCACTGATTGAAGGAGGCCTGAATTGGAGGCCAGCGGTGCAAGTTTGGGGCCAATGGTTGAGTTTTGGGGCAGGAGCAGGGGAGGGTTTAGAGTCAGTGCTGACCATTGGGGCAAATGGGGGAGATTTGGGACAAAGGGTCAAGGTTGCGATTCGGGGGAAGGGTCTGGGTTTGGGGAAGGGTGGGACTTGGAGATCGGCGTGGACCCATAACTGGTGTCTTCATCAGAAGCAGCAGCACTCCAATCATTATCATGGCCAGATTTGCACAGAAATAGGATCCGGAATCCTCGTCCTTGAGGTTGTTCATTGTCAGCGTCACCGAGCTCTGCCCGTTTTCCCTGGAGATCCTGACCCGGCCCTTGACCGATGGCGCGTACGCGGTGTACGCACCACTGCTCCAGATCTCTGCAACATATTCCAGCCCCTTCCCGGGTCTCTTGCAGATCTAATACATGGTAAAACTGCCAAAACTGAACCCGGACCCTCAGCAGCGTAGGCGCAGGGACCCCCCGGGGGGCTGGAGGTCCCCCCCGCACTCCAGCAGGGTCACGGCCGCCCGGAGCCCTGCGGGACAAAGGGGAGATGGGGATGAGAACCCTGATTGGCTGAGGGACTTAAAGCTGGTGTGGCCAGAGGGAAAAAGGGGCAGGACCCACCTGGGGGGAGGATGATGAACTCGCAGGGTCCCAATTTGGGGCCCAGAGTCAGGATTGGGGTCAAGGGTTTAGCTTTGGCCTCATCCCCATCTGCCCTTTTTCCCGCAAGGCTCCGGGCGGCCGTGACCCTGCTGGAGTGAGGGGGGGACCTCCAGCCCCCCAGGGGGTCCCTGCGCCTCCTCTGCTGAGGGTCCGGGTTCAATTTCCGCAGTTTTGCCATACAATGGGTCCGCCAGAGACCGGGGCAGGTATTGGAATGGGTCACCTACATCAGGAGTGATGGTTCCAACATTTACTATGCACCATCGGTCAAGGGCCGTGTCACGATATCCAGGGACAACGGGCAGCGCTCGGTGACGCTGACCATGAACAACCTCAAGGACGAGGATTCCGGATCCTATTTCTGTGCCAAGGGTGCCTACAGCAATTGGGGTTCTGGTCCTGATCGTGTTGAACCCATGCCCTTGTCCCACCCAGACCGGCTGTCCCCGACCCTTCTTCCAAACCTCAGCCCCTGACCCCATTCCTGAGCCCATGTCTCAACCCTGCACTGGCTCGGCACCAAATTCTGCACTCTTGTCATTAGAGTTGACCGAAATTTTGACCCAAACCTTGACTGCCAGCTTTGGAGCAAAATCTTGGGGCACAAAGAGATTTGGGCTCAGGAGTTGTGGTTTGGGGTCAGCGGGTGAGAACTGGGGCCGAGGAAGAGCAAGGGTCGGATCAATGGTCAAGGGCTTGGTGTGGGCTGGGGCTTTGGGGGAAGGGTCTGGGCAATGGGGACAGGGGGGCACACGGAGATGGGGGTGGCACCGACATCAATACGAGGAGCACCAGCACGAGCGTTGTAGAATTTGTCCCAGAAATAGGATCCAGAATCCTCGTCCTTGAGGTTGTTCATGGTCAGCGTCACCGAGCTCTGCCCGTTGTCCCTGGAGATCCTGAACCGGTCCTTGAATGACAGGGCGTATCTGGGAGTGGCGCCATCACTGGTGACACTCGCGAAAAACTCCAGCCCCTGCCCGGGTCTCTGCCGCATCCAGCCCATCCCAAAATTGACAAAATCGAACCCGGACCCTCGGCAGAGGAGGCGCAGGGACCCCCCAGGGGGCTGGAGGTCCCCCCCGCACTCCAGCAGGGTCACCGCCGCCCGGAGCCCTGAGGGACAAAGGGGAGATGGGGATTGGAAACCTGATGGGTTGAGAATCTCAAAGTGGGCGTGGCCAACGGGAAAAAAGGGACAGGACCCACCTGGGGGGAGGATGATGAACCCCAAGGGTCCCAGTTTTGGGACAAGAGTCAGGATTTGGGTCAAGGATTGAGCTTTGGCCTCATCCCCATCTCCCCTTTGTCCCACAGGGCTCTGGGCGGCCGTGACCCTGCTGGAGTGCGGGGGGGACCTCCAGCCCCCGGGGGGTCCCTGCGCCTCCTCTGCCGAGGGGCTGGGTTCGATTTTGGACAATTTGGGATGCGCTGGATGCGCCAGAGACCAGGGCAGGGGCTGGAACACATCGGAGGGATCAAAAGCGATGAGAGCACCTACTACGATCCATCGTTCAGGGGCCGGGTCACGATCTCCAGGGACAACGGGCAGAGCTCGGTGACGCTGACCATGATCAACCTCAAGGATGAGGATTCCGGATCCTATTTCTGTGCCAGATGCAGTGATGGTGGTTGGAATGGTGCTGCTGTTGCTTATGGTGACAATCTTCAGCATCGCCCCAAGGCCGCTGCCCGAGTTCCCAATATTTCCCAAATTACTTCTCCCAAATCCCAACCCTTGACCCCATTCTTGACCTTACTCCCCAGTTTCCACTATTGCTGTCCGAATTCCTGATGTTTCCACAGTTTTGCCCATTTCACCCAAATCTCCCCCAGCTCCCCAGGCCCTGATTGGCTGAGCTGGCACAGGCAGAAATGGGAACTCTTGGAGAGCAAGGCCTGAACTGGAGGCCAGGGGTTAAGGTTTGGGGCCAATGGTTGAGTTTTGGTGCAGGAGCAGGGGAGGGTTTGGGGTCAGTGCTGACCATTGTTGCAAACGGGGGAGATTTGGGACAAAGGGTCAAGGGCTGAGGTTTGGGGGACAATTTGAAGGGAGAATCTCAGTTTGGGGACAGGTGAGGACACAGAGATGGGGTGAATCCACCACGGCCATCGTCACTATAAGCAGCAGCACCAGCACCATGACCACTACCAGCACGTTTGGCACAGAAATAGGATCCGGAATCCTCGTCCTTGAGGTTGTTCATGGTCAGCGTCACCGAGCTCTGCCCATTGTCCCTGGAGATCGTGACCCGGCTGTTGACTGAATCCGCGTAGCCGGAGTTGCCACCATCGTTCCTGATCCATGCGAGCCACTCCAGCCCCTGCCCGGGTCTCTGTCGGATCCAGAACATGTCGTAGCTCCCGAAACTGAACCCGGACCCTCGGCAGAGGAGGCGCAGGGACCCCCCAGGAGTCTGGAGGTCCCCCCCGCATTCCAGCACGGTCACGGCCGCCCAGAGCCCTGCGGGACAGAGGGGAAATGGGGATGCGGCCAAAGCTCAACCCTTGACCCAAATCCTGACTCTGGGCCCGAAACTGGAACCTTTGGACCACCCCATCCTAGTTGTCCTGCTCCGGCTGCCCCTCTAAGGTGAGTCCCACCCCATTTTCCAGTTTGACACACCAACTTTGTGGCCCTCAGCCAATCAGGTTCCTCATTCCCATCTCCCCTTTTTCCCGCAGGACTCTGGGCGGCCGAGACCCTGCTGGAGTGCGGGGGGGACCTCCAGCCCCCCGGGGGGTCCCTGCGCCTCCTCTGCCAAGGGTCCGGGTTCGTTTTCGGTAGTTTTGGGATGGGCTGGCATTGCCAGAGACCCGGACAGGGGCTGGAAGCAGTAACCAGTATCAGCAGCTATGGCAGCGCCTACTATGCGGATTCGGTCAAGGGCCGGTTCAGGATCTCCAGGGACAATGGGCAGAGCTCGGTGACGCTGACCATGAACAACCTCAAGGACGAAGATTCCGGATCCTATTTCTGTGCCAAATCTTACAGCACTGGTAGCGCTGCTGCTGCTGTAGCTTATACTGACCATGCCAGTGGTGGCATCACCATTTCTGAGCCCCGCCTGTTCCCAAATCTCAGACCCATCCTCCAAATCTCAGCCCTTGACCCCATTCTTGACCCTTTGTCCCAGATCTCCCCCATTTCCAACACCACCAACCATGGAGCCACAACCCGCGAAGTGCTTCTGCCCCAAACCCAACTAAGTTGGCAGCAAACCTCGCCCGAATCTGCCCTAAATCCCCACTTTATGCTCCCTGCAGCAGCAGCCACTGACCGAATCCTCAACCTTTGTCCCCAAATAGGGACCTTGGGCCTCAAACCCCGACCTTCAGAGCAAAGTTTGGGGCACAAAGAGGAGATCAGGGGTCAGGAGTTGTGGTTTGGGGTCAGCGGGGGAGAATTGGGGCGGAGGCAGAGCAAGTTTGGGATCAATGGTCAATGGCTGGGTGTGGGCTGGGGGTTTGGGGGAAGGGTCTGGGCAATGGGGACAGGGAGGGGATAAGGGGATGGGGATGGGGACACCATGGGCATCGTCACTACGAGCAGCATGTTCAGGGTAATTATTAGCAGCACACTTGGCGCAGAAATAAACGGCGGAATCCTCGTCCTTGAGGTTGTTCATGGTCAGCGTCACCGAGCTCTGCCCCTTGTCCCTGGAGATCGTGACCCGGCCCTTGACCGATGGCGCGTAGATGGTGTTGGCACTATTGTAGTGGATTCCTGCGACGTATTCCAAAGCCTGCCCGGGTCTCTGGCGGATCCAGTACATTCCATAATCCCCGAAAATGAACCCGGACCCTCGGCAGAGGAGGCGCAGGGAACCCCCGGGGGGCTGGAGGTCCCCCCCGCACTTCAGCAGGGTCACGGTCCCCCAGAGCCCTGCGGGACAAAGGGGAGATGGGGATGAGAAACCTCATTACTCTAGAGCTTCAAAGTGGGCATGGCTGCAGGTAAAAGGGGCAGGACCCCCCTGGGAGGAGGAGGATGATGAACTCCAAGGGTCCCAGGAGGGGCCAAGTGTCAGGTTTTGGGTCGAGGGTTGAACTTTGGCCTAATCCCCATCTTCCCTTTGTCCCGCAGAGCTCCAGGCGGCCGTGACCCTGCTGGAGTGCGGGGGGGACCTCCAGCTCCCCGGGGGGTCCCTGACGTTGCAGTGCCGAGGGTCCAGGTTCGATGTCGGCGCCATCACCATGTTCTGGGTCCACCAGAAACCCGGGCAGGGGCTGGAGTGGGTTGGGAGCATCAGGAAGGAGGGCTGGAACTCCATGTACGCGCCTTCCGTGCAGGGCCAGTTCAGGATCTCCAGGGACAACGGGCAGAGCTCGGTGACGCTGACCATGAACAACCTCAAGGTCGAGGATTCCGGATCCTATTTCTGTGCCAGGGCTGCTGATGGTTATAGTGCTGCTGCTAATGGTGACGATACCCCTGATGGTCTCAAGCTCCTGCCGTTCATCCGACTCCCATCATTGAGTCCCCAGAGTTCTGCTTTTCATCCCAAACCTCACCCATTTACCAAGCCCTTGACCCTTTGTCCCCATTTGCACCAATGGTCAGCACTGACCCCAAACCCTCCCCTGCTCCTGTCCCAAAACAAATCCATTGGCCCCAAACCTTCTCCCCTGGCCTCCAGTTCAGGCCTCCTCCAATCAGGGGCCAGGAGCTGGGGGAGATTTGAGTGAAATGGGCAAAATTGGGGAAACATCAGGAATTCGGACAGCAATAGTGGAGACTGGGGAGTAAGTTAAAAATTGGGGTCAAGGGTTGGGATTTGGGAGAAGGATTTTGTGAAATTTTGGGAACTCGGGCTGCGGGCTTGGGGCGATGCTGAGGATTGTCACCATAAGAAACAGCAGCACCATTCCAACCACCATCACTGCATCTGGTACAGAAATAGGATCCTGAATCCTCGTCCTTGAGGTTGATCATGGTCAGCGTCACCGAGCTCTGCCCGTTGTCCCTGGAGATCGTGACCCGGCCCCTGAATGGCGTGTAGTAGGTGCTCTCATCGCTTTTGAACCCTCCGATGTGTTCCAGCACCTGCCCGGGTTTCTGGCGCATCCAGCCCATCCCAAATTGCCCAAAATCGAACCCAGACCCTCGGCAGAAGAGGGGCAGGGATCCCCTGGGGGGCTGGAGTTCCCCCCCGCACTCCAGCAGGGTCACAGCCGCTGCCCATCCCCAAACCTTCACTGGTTTGCCCCAAATTCCCTTTGTCTCGCCCCAAATCTCCAACAGAGATTTCCAGTATTGTAAAGTGCTTTAAACCCTGCAATGAGCCTCAATCCACCCATTCATTCATTGGACACCTCCACCTGACTTTTGGAACCCCTCATCCCCATCTCCCCTTTTTCCCGCAGGGCTCTGGGCGGCCGTGACCCTGCTGGAGTGCGGGGGGGACCTCCAGCCCCCCATGGGGGGTCCCTGCACCTCCTCTGCTGAGGGTCCGGGTTCAGTTTCGGCAATTTTGGAATGGCCTGGATCCGCCAGAGACCCAGGCAGGGGCTGCAGTGGGTCGGAACCATCAGCAGCAGTGGTGGCAGCACCATCTACGCGGATTCAGTCAAGGGCCGGTTCATGATGTCCAGGGACAATGGGCAGAGCTCGGTGACGCTGACCATGAACAACCTCAAGGACGAGGATTCCGGATCCTATTTCTGCGCCAAGGACACCGATGGTGACGGTGCTTATGCTGATGCTGGTTGGGGAAGATGAAACAGGAAAGCCTTATCAATGTGATTGGCTGGCAAAAGATTTTGAGAATATGGAAACCATCAGCGAGATTGAAAGGAAAGCAACCTTTGAGATCCCTCAGTTACTGAAAAACTGGAAAACAGTTGTTCAGCGTGGCCGGCTGAAGGTGATCCCATTTTGATGGAACAACACCCTGTGATTGCAGACAGCTCCAAGGGTCAGAGTAGACCCCACAGCTTGGCAGAAGGGCCCAAAGAGGGGATTTTAGGGTTTAAAATGTAATAGAGTATGGTAATGAAACGATTCTTATAGGCTGTATGTAAATGCTGTAGGGTTTGTATATTGGACCAGATTGGTTAGTGAGAATTAGAATATTCTACAGAGAAGATTAATTGTATTGTGGTGGGAACCTCACTCTCTTACCCTTTTATTCTCTTACAGTTTTATGTTCTTACCCTTTTACACTCTTACCATTTTATTCACTGACTTTTTCACTCTCTTACCCTTTCTATTCTGTCACCCTTCTACTCATTTACCTTTTTTACTCTCTTACTCTCTTACCCTCTCTCCCGCTCTCCCCTCTCTTCTCTCAGCCCTACTCCAGCTGTGCCTGGCAGCTCCCAGCAGGGCCCTACAGTTCGTCCTTTGCAATAAACCCCAAATTCCAGACCTGGCTGCAGAGATCTCTCGTGTCCATCCATCTGTCCCGACCGTCCTATGCCCTGATGCTCCTGCAGTGCTGGTTGGGGAATGGGGCCAAGCCCGGCACATCAATAGAAGCAACACCATAAGTACCATCAGGAGTATAAGCATATTTGGCACAGAAATAGGATCCAGAATCCTTGTCCTTGAGGTTGTTCATGGTCAGCGTCACCGACCTCTGCCCGTTGTCCCTGGAGATCGTGAACCGGCCCTTGACCGAATCCGCGTAGCTGGTGCTGCCAGTGGTGCTGATAGCTGCAATGAACTCCAGCACCTGCCCGGGTCTCTGGCGGATCCACGCCATCACAATAATCCCAAAATCGATCCCGGGCGATCGGCAGAGGAGGCGCAGGGACCCCCCGGGGGTCTGGAAGTCCCCCCCGCACTCCAGCAGGGTCACGGCCGCCTGGAGCCCTGCGCGACAAAGGGGAGATGGAGATGAGGAGCCGGACCCGGGCGTGGGCTGTGCTGGGGGTGACCAGATCCCAAAAGGGACCTGAACCCACCTGGGAGGGCCAGCAGGATCGGGAGGTGGAGAAAGTGCCACAATTTAAGCCCAACAACAGAATCTGCAGGCAGGAATCAACATTTGGGTGGATTTTTTCCCTCTTCCCCATCTGCCCTTTGTCCCGCAGGGCTCCGGGCGGCCGTGACCCTGCTGGAGTGCAGGGGGCACCTCCAGCCCCCGGGGGGTCCCTGCGCCTCCTCTGCCGAGGGTCCGGGATCAGTTTCTGCGGTTTTGGGATGAGCTGGTATCGACAGAGACCCGGGCAGGGGCTGCAATTCGTCGCAGGGTTCAACACTGGAGGAGGCATTGGCTACGCGGATTCAGTCCAGGGCCGGTTCAGGATCTCCAGGGACAACGGGCACAGCTCAGCGACGCTGACCATGAACAACCTCAAGGATGAGGATTCCGGACCCTATTTCTGTGCCAAAGCTGCTGCTGATGGTTGGGCTGCTCCTGATCGTTTTGATGCCACCCTTATCGCTGTGTCCCCCCTGTCCCCGTTCCTCAGACCCTTCCCCAATCCCCAGCCCCTGACCCCATTCCTGTCCCCGTGCCCCAACCCTGCCCTGACTCTGCCCCACATTCTCAGCTCCTGGCCCCAAACCTCAGCTCGGGGCCCACTCGGGGCCATTTTGGCTCCTGAGCTCTCCTTGGCCATTCTGACCCTGCCCTTGTCCGATGGAAGGTTCCAGGTGACTCCACCCTTGGACCCCTCTGCTTCGCTCAACATGGAACCCTCGACTCGAGATCAATTTGAAAAATTTAATTTCCCCAAAATTTCCTGTGTTTTTTGTGTAAAAAAAAGGGGGTTTTCTCCAGAGAGAGGATTCTAGCCCAGCCCCAAGGAGCAGCCCCAGACACCGCGGCCGCTGAGGGAGCAGTGAAGCCCCAGGTGGGACCAAGGGAGGGAGGGAGGGAGGAGAAGACGCCGCTATTTTGGGGCTCCGCAGCCTCCCCCCACTTCCTCCCCGGCAGCTGCCGGGGCCTGGCCGGGGCAGGAAAGGAAACAGAAAGTTCCTGGTTTTGGTCATTGTGAACATCTGTGTTTGGCAGAGGGCAGATCAGCCTCTGGGCGCTGCGGCAGAGCACCGGCTGCACAAAAAGCTTTGTGTGCAAAGGGCCCTGGAGCGATCCCCGTTCCACACTGGGACGGAGGGGAAGGGCCAGAATGGGGAGAAATGGGGGAAACTGGAGGAAATTGGGAATTGGGGAAGTGACGGTGGAGTTTGGAGGAAATGGTCAATATTTTAGGAACACAGCTGGGATCTTGGGGAAGGATCTCTGGGACTGGAAATATTTGCTGACCATCATGGTCACTATCAGGATTGATGCCAAAACCAGCGTCAATAGCATTGCCAGCGTAACCATTGCAAAGTTTGACGCAGAAATAAACGGCGGAATCCTCGTCCTTGAGGTTGTTCATGGTCAGCATCACCAAGCTCTGCCCGTTGTCCCTGGAGATCCTGAACCGGCCCTTGAATGACGGCGCGTATCTGGGAGTGGCGCCATCACTGGTGACACTCGCCACAAACTCCAAACTCTGCCCGGGTCTCTGGCGCATCCAGCCCATCCCAAAATTCCCAAAATCTCCTCGGCAGAGGAGGCGCAGAGACCCCCCGGGGGGCTGGAGGTCTCCCCCGCACTCCAGCAGGGTCACGGCTGCCCGGAGCCCTGCGGGACAAAAGGGAGATGGGGATGGGAAACCTGATTGGTTGAGGACCTCTAAGTGGATTTTGCCAGTTGGAAAAGAGTCGGGACCCACTTTGGAGAAGGATGAGAAGATCCAGGGATCAGAATTTGGGGCCAATAATCAGAATTTTGGTCAAGGATTGAGCTTTGTCCATCCCAATCTCCCCTTTGTCTTTCAGGGCTCCGGGCGGCCGTGACCCTGCTGGAGTGCACGGGGGACCTCCAGCCCCCTGGGGGGCCCCTGTGCCTCCTCTGCCGAGGGTCCGGGTTCAGTTTTGGACAATTTGGGGTGGGCTGGATCCACCAGAGACCGGGGAAGTGTTTGGAGTTTGTGGCGAGTGTCACCGGTGATGGCGCCCCTCCCAGATACGCGCCGTCAGTTCTGGGCCGGGTCATGATCTCCAGGGCAGAGCTCGGTGACGCTGATCATGAACAACCTCAAGGACGAGGATTCTGGATCCTATTTCTGCGGGAAATCTGCTTATAACAATTGGAGTACTGGTGCTGGTGTGGATGGTTTTGGTCTGGACCCTGTGGCTGTGTCCCAACCGGTCCACAAATCCCAGACCCTTCCCTGAAACCCAAACACTTTTGCCCATTCCTGACTCTGTCCCAACCCTAGAGGGGTTCTTCCCCAAATTCTCCATACCTTGCAAGGAAGTTGACCCAAGTCTTAACCTTGGCCTTAAATCTCCACTTTTAATTCAAAGTTTGGGGCACAAAGAGGAGATTTGGGCTCAGGAGCTGTGGTTTGGGGTCAGCGGGTGAGAATTGGGGCCGAGGCAGAGCAAGGTTGGGATCAATGTTCAAGGGCTGGGTGTGGGCTGGGGGTTTGAGGGAAGGGTCTGGGCAACGGGGACAGGGGGGGGACACGGGGATGGGGGGCACAGTAAAATCAATAAACAACATCAGCAGGATCATACCAAACATCAACAGATTTGGCACAAAAATAGGATCCGGAATCCTCGTCCTTGAGGTTGTTCATGGTCAGCGTCACCGAGCTCTGCCCATTGTCCCTGGAGATCGTGACCCGGCCCTTGACTGAGGGTGCGTAGCCGGTGCTGGAACCATCTTTCTTAATCCCCCCGAGCCACTCCGTCACCTGCCTGGCTGTCTGGTGGACCCACTGCATCCCAAAATTCCCAAAACTGAACCCGGACCCTCGGCAAAGGAGGCGCAGGGACCCCCCGGGGGGCTGGAGGTTCCCCCCGCACTCCAGCAGGGTCACGGCATCTGACTCCATGAGTCAGAATGCTGAACAATTGCTCAATTAAATCTCTACTATCTTACATTAATAATATATTTTATTACATTAATACAATATTATATCTCATTATTACTATATTACATCTCATTAATAATATATCTCATTAATATTATATTTTATCTGATTAATTCTATATTATAACTCATTAATACTATATTATATCTCGTTAATACTGTATTACATCTCTTTAATACTATATTACATCTCGTTAATGGTATATTACATCTCATTAATACTATATTATATCTCATTAATTCTATATTATATCCCATTAATACTATATTACATCTCATTAATGCTATATTATATCTCATTATTCTATATAGCATCTCATAAATACTATATTATATCTCATTAATACTATATTATATCTCATTAATGCTCTATTACATCTATACTAAAGATATACTGAAGATTTCCGTACAAAAGACACGAAAAAATCCTAAAGAATCCCCGTGAGAGTCTGACAGGTCCAGGTAATGGCTTCGAGCCCATTGGCCAAGGAAACAAAACAATCTCCAGCAGAACCCAAATGACGAATCCCTGGAGGGGAACAATCCCCCGACACTTTCCACACGCGTAGAAACAGCAGGAGCAGAGAGGAGAGATGGGAATTGTTTCATCTTCATCTTCTCTCTGTGCTGCTCCAGGAAAAATCCTGTGACAGAAAGAGAGAGACAGAGAGAGAGAGGGAGAGAGAGAGAGACAGAGAGAAAGAGGGAATGGTGTCTGACTCTGTGCTGGGAATGAGAATGGCACAGCTGGGCCTGGTGCCCATCTCCCCTTTGTCCCGCAGGACTCCGGGCGGCCGTGACCCTGCTGGAGTGCGGGGGGGACCTCCAGCCCCCCGGGGGGTCTCTGCGCCTCCTCTGCCGAGGGTCCGGGTTTGATTTTGGCAGTTTTGGGATGGGCTGGTATCGGCAGAGGCCCGGGCAGGGGCTGGAGCCAGTCGCAAGTATCAGCAGCAGTGGCAGTTCCTACTACGCGCCATCAGTCAAGGGCCGGTTCAGGATCTCCAGGGACAACGGGCAGAGCTCGGTGACGCTGACCATGAACAACCTCAAGGACGAGGATTCCGGATCCTATTTCTGTGCCAAGGATGCTGATGGTTACGGTGCTGCTCCTAATGCTGGTTGGGGATGGGGCCATGGTCGGCACTCTCAATATAACCGGCAGCATAAGCGCCCTTGGTACCAGGAGATTTCCCGCATAAACAGGATCCGGAGGGCCCAGGAGCGGAGATTTGGGGCTAGGAGGTGAGATTTGGGGCCACAGCAGGGCAGGGTTTGGACGCAGTCTCAGGAGTGGAGTCAGGGTTTGGAGGGAATGATCTGGGGCACAGGGACAGGAACAGGGCCAAGAACAACATCACCAACATCAGCATCAGAAGCAGCACAACAACTGTAAACACCCTTGGTGCAGAAATAGGATCCGGAATCCTCGTCCTTGAGGTTGTTCATGGTCAGCGTCACCGAGCTCTGCCCGTTGTCCCTGGAGATCCTGAACCGGCCCTGCACCGATGGAGCGTAGCCAATGCTGGAACCGTTGTTGCTGATCCCTGCCACGAATTCCAGCCCCTTCCCAGATCTTTGACGCATCCAGCCCATGTTAAAACTCCCGAAATCAAACCCGGACCCTCGGCACAGAAACGTCGGGGACCCCCCCGGGGGGCTGGAGGTCCCCCCCGCACTCCAGCAGGGTCACGGCCGCCCGGAGCCTTGCGGGACAAAGGGGAGTTGGGGATGAGGCCAAACCTCAACCCTTGAACCAAATCCTGAGTCTTGGCCCTAAATTGGGACCCTTGGAGTTCATCATCCTCCTCCCAGGTGGGTCCCGACCCTTTTCCAAACTGGCCACACCCACTTTGAGGCCTTCGACCAATCAGGTTTCCCATCCCCATCTCCCCTTTGTCCCGCAGGGCTCCGGGCGGCCGTGACCCTGCTGGAGTGCGGGGGGGACCTCCAGCCCCCCATGGGGTCCCTGCGCCTCCTCTGCCGAGGGTCCGGGTACAGTTTTGGGAATTTTGGGATGCAGTGGGTCCACCAGAGACCCGGGCAGGGGCTGGAGTGGCTCGGGGGGATAAAGAAAGATGGTTCCAGCACCGGCTACGCACCCTCAGTCAAGGGCCGGGTCACGATCTCCAGGGACAATGGGCAGAGCTCGGTGACGCTGACCATGAACAACCTCAAGGACGAGGATTCTGCCACCTATTTCTGTGCCAAATCTGTTAATGTTTGGTATGATCCTGCTGGTGTTGTTTATAGATTTTACTGTGCCCCCCATCCCCGTGTTCTCCCCTGTCCCCATTACCCAGACCCTTCCCCCAAACCCCCAGCCCACACCCAGCCCTTGGCCATTGATCTCCACCTTGCTCTGCCTCAGGCCAATTCTCACCCGCTGACCCCAAACCACAACTCCTGACCCCAAATCTCCTCTTTGTGCCCCAAAACGTTGAATTAAAAGTGGAGATTTAAGGCCAAGGTTAAGACTTGGGTCAACTTTCTTGCCAGGTACGGAGAATTTGGCGAAGAACCACTTTAGGGTTGGGACAGAGCCAGGAATGGGCAAAAGTGTTTGGGTTTTAGGGAAGGGTCTTGGATTTGGGAGCGAGTCGGGACATGGCCACAGGGTCCGGACCAAAACCATCCACACCAGCACCAGTACCCCAATTGTTATAAGCAGATTTCCCACAGAAATAGGATCTGGAATCTTCGTCCTTGAGGTTGGTCATGGTCAGCGTCACCGAGCTCTGCCCGTTGTCCCGGGACATCATGACCCGGCCCTTGGCCGATGGTGAGTCCCAGGCGCTGCCACCAGTGTTGATCCATGCGAGCCACTCCAGCCCCTGCCCGGGTCTCTGGCGCATGCAGTACATGTCGTAGCTCCTGAAACTGAACCCGGACCCTCGGCAGAAGAGGCGCAGGGATCCCCTGGGGGGCTGCAGGTCCCCCCTGCACTCCAGCAGGGTCACGGCCACCCGGAACTCTGCGGGACAAAGGGGAGATGGGGATGAGGCCAAAGCTCAACCCTTGAAGAAAATCCTGACTCTTGGCCCCAAATTCTGACCCCTGGACATTCTCATCCTTCTACAAAGTGGGTCCCAACTCTTTTCCAACTGGCCACACCCACTCCATGTCCACAGCCAATCATGTTTCTCATCCCCATCTCCCCTTTGTCCCGCAGGACTCCGGGTGGCCGGTGACCCTGCTGGAGTGCGGGGGGAACCTCCAGCCCCCAGGGGGGTCCCTGCGCCTCCTCTGCCAAAGGGCCGGGTTCGATTTTGGGAGTTTTTCCATGCAATGGGCCCAACAGAGACCCGGGAAAGGGCTGCAGTGGGTCGCGGGGATCAGGAATGATGGTGGGGACACCGCCTACGCGGATTCAGTCAAGGGCCGGTTCACGATCTCCAGGGACAACGGGCAGAGCTCGGTGGTGCTGACCATGAACAACCTCAAGGACAAGGATTCCAGATCCTATTTCTTTGCCAAATCTGCTGCTGCTGGCAATTGGGGCGATGCTGCTGCATATGCTGAAGACACCAGTTGTGGATCCACCCCCGTCCCCATGTCCCCCCCGTCTCGGGTCCCCAGACCCTTCCCCCAAACCTCACCCATTGACCCTTGGTCCCAAATCTCCCCAATTTGCACCAATGGTCAGCACTGACCCCAAACCCTGCCCTGCTCCTGCCCCAAAACTCAACCATGGGCCCCTAATCTTAACCCCTGGCCTCCAGTTCAGGCCTGCTCCAACCAGGTCCAGGGAGCTGGCGGAGAATTGGGTTGAATTGGCAAAACTGGAGGAAAGTTGGAAATTGGGGCAAAGGTGGTGGACACTGGGGGAGAAGGTCAAGAATGGGGTCAAGGGTTGGGATTTTGGACAGGATTTGGGGATTTTGGGAGATTTGGGGAGACAGGGATAGGGGTTTGGGGCCACCACCAGCGTCGTCGCCATGTCCAGAGCTCCCAGAGAGGATTCCAGCCCAGCCCCAAGGACCAGCCCCAGACACCAAGGCCGCTGAGGGAGAAGTGAAGCCCCAGGTAGGAGCGTTGGGGGGAGGGAGGGACGAGAAGACGCCGCGATTTTGGGGCTCCGCAGCCTCCCCCCACTTCCTCGCTGGCAGCTGCCGGGGCCCGGCCGGGGCAGGAAAGGAAACAGAAAGTTCCTGGTTTTGGTCGTTGTGAACATCTGTGTTTGGCAGAGGGTAGCTCAGCCTCGGGGCGCTGCGGCAGAGCGCCGGCTGCACAAAAAGCTTTGTGTGCAAAGGGCCCTGGAACGATTCCCGTTCCGCACTGGGACGGAGGGGAAGGGCCAGACTGGGGAGAAATGGGCAAAATTGGGGGAAAACGGGGAGTTGGGTCTTCAGGGGCAGAGTTTGGGGGAAAATGGTGAAGTTTTGAGGAGAAGGGCGGGGATTTGCAGGAAGGATCTCTGGGATGGGAGACGTTTGATGACCGTCATGGTCACTGCCATGATTGATGCCGAAACCAGCTTCAAAAGCATTGCCAGCATAACCATTGCAAAGTTTAACGCGGAAATAAACTGCGGAATCCTCGTCCTTGAGGTTGCTCATGGTCAGTGTCAGCAAGCTCTGACCGTTGTCCCTGGAGATCCTGAACAGACCCTGCATCGACGGCACGTATCTGGGAGTGGCAGCATCACTGGTGATACTCGCCACAAACTCCAGCCCCTGCCCGGGTCTCTGCTTCATCCAGCCCATCCCAAAACTCCCGAAACTGAACCCGGACCCTCGGCAGAGGAGGCGCAGGGACCCCCTGGGGGGCTGGAGGTGCCCCCTGGACTCCAGCAGGGTCACGGCCGCCCGGAGCCCATCCCCAAACCTTCACCAATTTCTCTCATAACTCCCCTTGTTTGGTCCAAAAACCCTACCAGAGTTTTCCATATCTCAACATGCCTTAAAACTGCAATTAACACCAATCCATTCTTTAATTACTTAGACACCTCATCCTGAGCATTCTGCATTGATTACACAGTTAATACACTGTTAACGACCCCCAATTTGCCCCGGGACCCAAACTCGGGCACATCCTGGCCACACCCACGAGCTACCTCCGGCTCCTGGCCCTGCTGATCCTGCTGCCCCTCCCAGGTGAGCCCCACACCTTTTTTCCAAAAACCACGCCGCTTCTCCCCTGCTTGCTCAATCAGGCTCCTCATCCCCATCTCCCCTTTGTCCTGCAGCGCTCCAGGCAGCCGTGACCATTCTGGAGTGCGGGGGGGAACCTCCAGCCCCCCGGGGGGTCCCTGCGCCTCCTCTGCCGAGGGTCCGGGTTCAGTTTTGGCAGTTTTGGGATGGGCTGGTATCGACAGAGACCCGGGCAGGGGCTGGAATTCATTGCACAGATCAGCCAAGGTGGCAGTACCGACTACGCGGATTCGGTGCAGGGCCGGTTCAGGATCTCCAGGGACAACGGGCAGAGCTCGGTGATGCTAGCCATGAACAACCTCAAGGATGAGGATTCCGCTGTTTATTTCTGTGCCAGACGTTTCGATGGTGATGCTGGTAACACTGCTGATGGTTTTGGCAACAGTTCCTGCAGTGGCACCCCCCATGATGGTCACCAAAAGTCTGCATTCCCCAGTGATCCTTCCCCAAAATCCCAGTCCTGTTCCTCAAATCTCAGCCATTTCCCCCCAAAACTCTGCCCCTGCTGCCCCAACTCTGGACTTTCCCCCAATTTTGCCCATTTCACCCAAATCTTTGCCATCTCAACAGGCCCTGATTGGCTGAGCCGGCACAGGCAGGAATGGAAATTCTTGGAGAGCAAGGCCTGACCTGGATCCCAGGCTTGAAGGTTTAGGGCCAATGGTTGAGATGTGGGGAAGGAGCAGAAGAGGTTTGGGGTAAGTGCTGACCATTGGGGCAAATGGGGGAGATTTGGGACAAAGGGAAAAGGGCTGAGGTTTGGGGGGGAACAGTCTGGGATTGCGGAGAGAGGGGCTCAGACAGGGGTGGTGCCACCACCGACACGGTCAATATAAGCAGCAGCAGGGTTACCCGCACCACTAAAACACACCGCATTTGCACAGAAATAGGATCCGGAATCCTCGTCCTTGAGGTTGTTCATGGTCAGCGTCACCGAGCTCTGCCCGTTGTCCCTGGATATCCTCAACCGGCCCTTGACTGACGGCGCGTAGTCGGTGTAGGAAACAGCACCGCTGCTGATTCCCGCGTGCCATTCCAGCCCCTGCCCGGGTCTCTGGCAGATCCAGTGCATGGCATAACCACCAAAACTGAACCCGGACCCTCGGCAGAGGAGGTGCAGGGACCCCCCGGGGGGCTGGAGGTCCCCCCCGTATTCCAGCAGGGTCACGGCTGCCCTGAGCCCTGTGGGACAAAGGGGAGATGGGGATGAGGCCAAAGCTCAACTCCTGACCCAAATCCTGATTCTGGGCCCCAAATTGGGACCCTTGGCGTTCATCATCCTCCTCCGAGGTGGGTCCCGTCCCTTTTTCCAGCTGACACTGCCACCCATTCATGCCCACAGCAAATCAGGTTCCTCATCCCCATCTCCCTTCTGTCCCACAGGGCTCCGGGCGGCCGTGACCCTGCTGGAGTGCGGGGGGCACCTCCAGACCCCTGGGGGGTCCCTGAACTTGCTGTGCCGCACCTCTGGCTTCGATTTCAAAAAATCTGCAATGTTCTGGATGTGCCAGAGACCCGGGCTGGGGCTGGAATACGTGCGGGGATCAACGGTGATGATTCCACCCCCAGATACGTGCCGTCGGTCAAGGGCCACTTCAGGATCTCCAGGGACAATGGGCAGAGCTCGGTGACACTGACCATGAACAACCTCAAGGACGAGGATTCCGGATCCTATTGCTGTGCCAAAAACGCCTATGATGGTTGGGGTTGAGAGGCTCATGCTGCTGGTTCTAATTTTGGTCCTGTCTCCATCCCCGTTCACCAGGTCCTTCCCTCCTGCCCTTCACCCCATTGTTGATGCCCACAGACCCAAATCTGGACCATTTTTTCCAAATCTTGACCATTTGCACCGAGGGTTGAGAGCCTTGGTTGAGCCTTGGAGCCAAGAGCTGAGGTGTGGCGCCAATAGCTGAGATTTGGGGTAGAGCCAGCTGAGTTTGGAGCCAATAGTCACAAGTGAACCCCGCTGAGATCTGGGGCACAAAGGGTAGGGTTTTGGGGATGAACCTATGAGAATTATTTCAAATTCATAAAGCCCCATGGAAATGTGTGAGGTGAGACAATGATTGGGGAGATTGGGAAAAACAGTCAAGATTTGTGGCCAACACTAAAGATTTGGAGGTAGAATGTGGGGTTTTGGGATGTTTGTGGGCACAGTATCGAGGAGGGGCCACCACTGGCATCGTCATCATAACCAGCAGATATATTATGACCACAACCACTGCTGTAACATTCGGTGCAAAAATAGGATCCGGAATCCTCTTCCTTGAGGTTGTTCATGGTCAGCGTCACCGAGCTCTGCCCGTTGTCCCTGGAGATCATGAACCGGCCCTTGACTGAATCCGCGTAGCCGGAGTTTCCACCATCGTTCCTGATCCACGCGAGCCACTCCAGCCCCTGCCCGGGTCTCTGGCGCACCCAGAACATGTCGTAGCTCCCGAAACTGAACCCGGACCCTCGGCAGAGGAGGCGCAGGGATCCCCCGGGGGGCTGGAGGTCCCCCCCCCTGCACTCCAGCAGGGTCATGGCCGCCCAGAGCCCCGCGGGACAAAGGGGAGAGGATGGAAATCAAAAGTCTGATTGGTCAAGGACCTCCAAGTGGGTGTGGCCAGCTGGACAAATGGGTAGAATTCTCCAGGGGGGAGGATGATGAACTCCAAGGGTCCCAATTTAGGTCCAAGAGTCAGGATTTGGGTCAATGTTTGAGCTTT